CCTTTGTGGGACGGAAGGACAACACAACACTAGGAAGTGAGCGTTACATACAAGACATATCGGTGCTCAAGAATATCTGCATTGTATGATAGCAACTGTTATCTGCATCTCTTACGTCATGAGCTGACTTTTCTACTTTGTTCCTAAGTACTAAGATGGATTTCTCTTCTCTCCGTCTTGCTCCAACTGACACACACCCAGAGCCCATTCAAAACTCTTGGGCAGCACTCGGAGAACAAAGCGACACCATTCCACACAACCCCCCTTTGTGCCACTCCCACGCCGACAAGGTACCGAGTTTCCTGAGCAGCATCTCATCTCAATACTTAAAGAGCTTCTGTTCGGTGCCGACAGCTCGTTTGTTCCTCATCGTGTAATAGAATCGCATCAAGAGGCACCCCACGGAGACCATGAGCAAGAAGCCGGCATTGATCCAGTGACCCATCGGGTACCCCTTGGCAGCCTCCTCCACCTTATAGATCCATACACCAACGATTTGGCCCGGCGCGCCCATCGAGATATTGAGGGCAATTGCCAACCCGATAGACGCCGTCGAGTGCAGGTTGGAGGAAAGCCACCCGAGGAGCGGAGGAATACAGGCAAAGGAGCCCGAGGCTGCGATAATGAGACATCCGTAACGAGCCTACACATTCTAGTCAGTGGCCGGCCAAAGTATTGGAAGCATCGCCGCATAAATTACTCACACTATACGCATGCGCGGGGAGTGTGGCAGAAGCGATGAAACCGACTGCCCCGACAAGGGAGAATATGGAGGAATGAAGCGCACGACTAAGGTTCTGCGTGTTAGCACCTCGATCCAAGAATAAAGGGCTGTCGTCTTTCGCTTTTCCTTACGCATTGAAGTGGTCGGCTGACCATGAAGCCGCCAGGGTAACAACATATGCACATGCATAAGGAGGGACAGTCATAAGCTGAGCATTCAGGTTTTCAAACTTGGGAGGAGTCAGTCAAGTGTTTATAACCGCGGCTGGAAGACGAACTTACACCAAGGCCAGCTGTCAGTGATGGTGTGAACAGAGACAAGCTCGAGAACGGGACCGAAATTCCAAAGTATATCTAGATTAGATGGGTCAGAAATGTTCTCCTCCAACTGGGCTGGCAATATCCATACAATATAATGACACCACAATCTCCATTCGAGGAGTGTTGACTTCGCATCAGCCCAAGTCATTGCCGCACTATCACCTTGGGAGCCGTGTCCGGAAAGCCGTTGAGCAGCGAGCGCCTTTTCCTCCGCAGAGAGCCACGAAGCGGTCTCGGGATAGTCTGGAAGTGCAAACCACACGAAGAAAGCCGATAGGATCGACGGAAGCCCCTCGAGAATGAAAAGCCATCTCCACCCTGACAGACCTTGGACTTGATTCATATGGCCTACGCCATAAGCAATAGCTCCGCCGAACGCGCCAGCGAGTGTTGCCGAGGCCAGAATCGCTGCAACTCGAATGGATCTCTCTTCAGGTCGGTACCAGAATGTCAAGTAGTAGACCAGGCCAGGGAAGAGGCCTATTACAAGTCAGTAAAAATCAATTGGTCTTTCCGTTTAGACTCAAGACACGTACCTGCTTCAAACACACCGAGTAGAAATCGCACAACGACAACCCCAGCATAGCTCTGGACGCCAGCAAACCCCACCGTGATGGAACCCCACGACAGCATAAGAAATGCGATCCATCGGCTGGGCCTGACCTTCTTGAGGAAGTAATTTGATGGGACTTCGAATATGGCATAGGCAATGAGGAAGATCATCAGAGCGATGGTGTACTGGTAGGCCGTCATGTGGGTGCGGGTAAGCAGGTCATCGCCGGTGGTCGAGTTCAGCACCTTGGCATTTCCGATATTGGAACGGTCAAGGTAGCATAGCAGGTAGATCGCCGCGGATAGCGGGATGATGCGATAGTCCTGCCGGCGCACCAGCTGCTTGGACTTTGCCTCGCTAATCTCGCCGTTTTGATGGGGGCTCCCAGACTGCCATTCACACCACGCATTAGTCCGGCTCAAAGCTCGAGGGCCAAGTTCAACGTTACCTCGATATCTTCCAATGCTTCTACGGGTGCATCATACCCAGGAACAGCTTCTTTGTCTGACATCGTCGAAGTTGGCGAGATGGATAAGTCAACAAAGACAAGCGACGCAGTTGTGGCAAAGAGCAAGAAGAGCGGGACGAGATGGCCACTGCCTGAAGTCTCGGTATACTTTCTTGGGTAGTCGCAGGTTTCCCCGCACACAGGTCAGACCGACTTTTTTCTCCTCCGATCATCATTTCCCCTTCTCGACTTAAATTGATAACCCACCTCCCAGCGCACGTTGTCCCAGGGTCACATCCTTCCGACACTGATCAGGATGGGGAAATTGCGGATACTTCTAATTAAATAGTTCCTGGTCCAATTCAATTTGGGAGTTTTCCCTGGGCACTAATGATTACTTCCCTGGTCAAGCTGGTAGGTCAACTCGTCGGCCGTCTTAATACCGAATCCATGTTCTATTATTCCCCACTGCCAACACTACTCAACGGTGAGAAAACTGTGAAGCGGGGACTGGCCTTGAAATTTTGCTGAAATGTCGCTGGGTTCTTCTCGCGACCGTTGTCAAAATCCTTGGGTTGAGTTCAGAGCTGTTTGTTAGTGTTGATATCTCTCTTGGTCTGCTGTGGCTGTATAGTTTCTCCTCCACGCCTAGTTATATGGTAGACTGTTGGGGCTGGCCAATCCCTTCAGTGCTTTCTTCTTCAATACTACCATCCAAGCACGATGGTGACTGGACCGCAAAGTAGTGGTCCGTGTAGTGAACTCTCTTGATATGTCCACTTGCTGGCAATAGTAGTCCTCATCTACGATATATCCCAGCCCTCCAAGTTGGAAATACGAGCAGGATCCATATGGCTTCAGCCTAAACACTTTTTCAACTGATACAACGCTTAGTGAACGCAGCCCACTCGGGCATTAAACTTCAGGAGACCGGTCAATAAAGGCAAGACACTACACGCTTAATAATCCGAGAGACTCTCCATACACGGCAGAAGTTCTCCTATTTGATAGCAGGCTGGATCTTTGGCATGCAGCTTTCCAGGTTCAATTGTCTGGTTCAAGTGTATTTGATACGCGCTTGGTCCTGAAGACTTGATCAACTTAGATGTAACCATAGTAAGAGAGTATGAATTGCGTTATATTCGAGGTTTCAAATAGTGCTGAGGCGAAGAATGTACACTCACATCTACTTCATGCAATCTGCTATCAAAGGTTATAAAAAGGGGGCACTCTTAGTTCACACCCTAACATAAAACGTAGATCAGTACTGTTATTGCAAGGGAGATTCCATCGGTAATGATTTAGGAATTCTTCTTGCGGGCCAGCACATGATGGTAACGTCATGCTACCACATGGTTATTTCCTAATCATGATTCAACCTAGCCGAAACGTACCTGCATATTAAAGCTTGTTTTTGGTTTATGATCTCTCAATTGGAATGTATAGGGACGATCACTGACACTTCTGGAAAATGGCGTAGGTCTGTCTTGCTCTGCGCCACTAGTCTAAGTCTTTGCTAAGGGATATCCAAACGCCAGCCTCGTTCTCGGTCTCCTAGGCAATAATAGAGACATGAATGATTCATTGATGCAGAAAACGCGTCATACACAGTCAGCAATGAAACAGCTTCATGGGATTTATTACCCCTGAATCCGCAAATCTGATGGCCTGGACGAGCCAGACTTCTTGCTCTCAGCACCAACACTCTACAGTATCTGTCTTCGACTACCTACTTCCTATTATTTCCTATACCTAGGATGAGGTTCTGCAGTATCCTCGTTAGTTTCATGCTTGTGGGAGCTGGCCTCGCAGCTTCTCAAGTGAGAACCGATTTTCGCCAGGCCCGGCGATTCGGAAATCCGGGCAGTCTTGAGCAATTCAAAAAAAGCTCCATCCGGAGGGGTGTGATCGACTCGCGTCAATACGAAGACCCCAAGGGCCTCGACAAGCATGGGCCATATTTGTCGTCTGCGACCCATTCACCAACGGATTTGCCAATGGAGCATGAACCTGGGACGAACCCGAGAGAGACTCAGCAAATGAATTATAACTAAGACGTGTTTCATCACAGTGTCCAGGACACTATTCAGTAAAACTCCAATGAGAGAGGTGGAGAATAAGTATATGAGGGTTGGTTTAGCCTTGCCGGAATACGCCAGCCGGCCAGGCTACATGATCCTGAGCCTGTAAGGTTGATATGCGATTGGACATCTCGATCAGTCTCTGTTTCTTCTACCAACACAACATTCGAACTTAGCATAAGCCGAGGGGCCAAGACAAGAGGACTTCTTTTGATGGAAAGGGTTCCCTGACGAAAGTATTTCCTACAGCGAGGCCTCGGCCTTGAGACATAACTTCGTTTTTCAGCAGCTATGTACATTATATTAAGACGAATATACATGTTCTCCCAGTTATTATCTCCTTTATTCATTGTAATGAGACGTCGGGTCTAGTACCTGTCGCTGGTTTTTACTCTATGCTCAGACTCTCGATAAGATTATCTCCCTCGAACTCAAGATCTTGAGGCTGAAAAGATGCAGCCCAAAGCGCATGAGTAACTACCAACGATAACATTCGAGTGTCAGGACTCCCCGTGCTAGAACTCTTCTTCTGACTTCAAGGGGATTCGGCGTCGATGATTGGTGCTAATTGTGGGTCTGCACCTGCATGTTGAAGGCAGGTGCAGCGACTGCCGTACCTTCCATGTTAGAGGTACCGAGTGGGCAGCAGTGCTGGTACTCGCAGGGCTCAACTGGATTCCATTGCGGGTGAGTGAAAGCTGAGCATTGAACTCACTGACCACATACAACGCCAACCCAGACCTTGCCTACTGCCAACCAACCTTTGGAGATTCATCACAACACCAACCCTGCCGAAAACTCCACACCACTGGTATGTCTTTGCCTGCGATCAAACCTACTGTGATTTCTAGTTTCCGCTGATGCTCTCATTTAGCGACCGTTCCCAAGCAACCGAATCTACCGCCGATGAATCAGCTGCGCTGCCGCTGCCTGCTATGCGGGTACGAAATCGTCTCGGGTGATGGTGATGATTTTGGGAGAAGCAAATTCAACAGCAATTACCATGCTTGTAAGAGTAGCCTTCCACCGTCTTCTGGTTTTGGCTTTCCCTGACCCGCATTGCAGTGTACGCTACCAGTGATGATTGGAACAGCCCAAAGCTGTCTTCGGTTGTAGATGTCTCTCAAGAGTTTACACAAAACGTCAAACATGGTGTCATGGTGATACCACGGGAAGACGAGTTCGACATCGATGTATCCGACCACATCTTCGAGGAAAGATTCGTCAAATACAGAGTATCACCCACCGTACCCTCTGATTTCCCGAGCCTTCATTTGTGGGGATTTGCCATCCATGCCGACTGCTGGAGGCTTTTGTGCGAGGTCAATGACCAGATGGGCGAGCAACATCATATTCGCGCCTTGTTTGACTTATGCGTATCACAACCCAATGTGAGCTCAGCCGTGGATTGGTTTCACCAGTACGGCGGGCACCTGAAGCGTGATTATCCAAACGCCTTTCAGTGGCCAGGAGAAGTCTGCTGCCCAGGTACAACCTACACCCTTGAAAATACCGGGGATTCCAATGGATTAAGCCCACTTGAAAATGAATTTCTACAACGATTCAGACGCACAGGAGAATACCCTCCGACAGAAGTTACATCAGAAGTTATACCGCAAGCTATTCTTTACCGAAATATGACAAGGTATCTTGGCCTTCGTCATGGGGAGAAAGAAGAAGAAGGCAGACAGCCACCTTATACAGACCTGCCCGACAACAGTTTCGGCCCTCTGCCTGGTCCACTTCTAAGACTGCTGTCTCAAGACACTCGTGATCCTTTTCAGCATCTTCCACACGAGTTACTGACTGAGATCCTCGTTTCGACGCCATCAAAAGATATCAAAAACCTTCGCCTGGCTTCAAAGACTGTTGCAACTTTAGACTTGCCTGAACGCTTCTGGCGTTCTAGATTCCTCAACGGCAACGAATTCTCCTACCTTTACTCATTTGCGTCTTGCTGGCCCGAGCCGAAAACATGGGCTGAGAAGTACGAGAAGGCTATGCGGTATCACAAATACCGCAAGGCTATAGACTATCTCAGAGAGCCCGACGCAATCATGTTGCATCATCGCAAAAGGGTCTGGGAACTGGGCGAGTACCTCAGCCGCCTCATTGAGCTCCGGCTTTCTTTCCAACATTGCTGCCCTCAAGTGACAAGGATCGCAAGTGGAGCTGGGCATACGTACAGAGAAGGCGGGGGATGGCTAAGTGCGCACATTGACCTGATTCCGTTCAACGTCCAACCTAAAGGCGGCTTCCGGCGGTTGTTAAAAGATGAAGGCGGCTCCCGGCAGTTGTTTGAAGATGCCATATCCATCCCAATTGGGGAGGCTGTCATGGAGGTCTCTGTCTCCCTTGTCTCTCTTCATGGCGGTACTTCTCTTTCTGGTCTTACCTTCGGGCCCAAATATCAGGTTGGGTATGATAATTACAGAAGCAGGGAATCAGCTACATGGTCTGGCTCCAAAAGAGTCCCAGGGGCTATCCGAGGTTTCCATCTGGCCCTGGACTCCCACTCACTGAGAGGTATTCGAATTTACTGCGTTCCTGGTGGTCTCTCTGATTGGATTGGTGATCACGAAAACTTAGCCAAGCAGGCCATAGTCCATTCCGCCGGATCGCTCCAAAAAGTCGAACTCGGCTTGAATGTTGGTAACCCCCCTCTCATTTCACACACATGAGGTTTTATATTGACGTTATTAGGCACTCCACGCTGTATCTCTTTCCATTTTCAACCAAGACTCGCAGGACATTGTCTCCGTTCCCAATCAAGATGCGCAGGATATTGTTTCTATCTCCAACAAAGACTTGCAGGATGTTGTTACCATTTCCAGCCAAGACTCACAGGATACTGTTTCCATTTCCAACGAAGATGCGCAGGATGTTGTTTCTATCTCCAACCAAGACTCGCAGGATACTGTCTCCATTTCTAACCAAAACGAGCAGGACATGAACACAAACACATCTATATTAGGCAACATTGTGTTGAGCTGTCGCGCCCTGGCATCTTTTGTTGCTGCAAGACTTTATTCTCTATTTCTCTCACACATATCGGGCAAAGGTCATGGCGAAGACCATAACGAAGGCCTTGACGAAAACCACAACGAAGACCATGAAGAAAACCATGACGAGAACCATGACGAGGACTATGACGAGGATCATGACGAAGACTATAAGGAAGACTACAACGAAGAGGATAACGAAGACTATAACGAAGAGGATAACGAAGACTATGACGAGGACCATGGCGGTAGTGACACTTGGTTGCCGGAGATCTGGTTCCCAGAACTTCCCAACTCATCTCTACGCATGATTGGTCTCGAGGATCGGACCCTGCGGAACGCAGAGTGGGATCCTTTTCAAACTTGTCTTTTTGGTGGAGTTGATGGCCAGAAACTACCAGAAGTCACGCAAATCGTCTTCAGCATGACTGAAGTTGAAGAGTGGGAACCTAGCCCAAGATTTCTCGAATTATTCGCGATAATTAACTACACGAGAATCAACTACATCAAGTTTCTTCACACGCCCCCAGTCGAAGGGAGGGGAACGCAGAGGGCGCGAGCCTCCGACTCGTCCATTTTAGGTTTGGGAGCCTACTATGACGAGCAGTGTAACGGATCTCTGAACCATCGACCTACCGCCGGCGGCCCAATTCGAGATTTCAAGTTAAAAATCACCCCGGATCGCCGACTTGGAGAACACCTTGTTGGTGTGGATGCCATTTATCATCGGGGTCATCTAGAGACACGGTTGAATGGCCTTATTGTAAGAAATAGGATCTCCTCACCCCATTTTGAACTACCTAACTTCCTTTGTAGATATATACAAGCTGCGGACGATCAATCGAGGTCCCTCCTGGAATCTCAGATATCGCAAGCGACCCGGACCTTGAAACAGTCCGTATTCGCCCAGAAGGTGGCAAGATCGTGGGGATATGCAGTCAATTGGTGAGTCGTCTTTGGACGGTTAAAAGTCTATTATACAATGGCAGCATTAACCAACTCTTTCTTAGAGCCGCAGCAAATTCATCAAGAATATTGGATTGCTTGTAGCACCGGAGAAGTGAGTGTGGCGGTAAATGGAACAAGTAAAGCACGACAGTTAGATGATCCCTTTCATCTCCCGACCGGAACCGGTTATCCAATGTCTTGATACTGGGGACTGCCTGACTGGCAAATTGGGGGATTGAATAAGGAGGTAACTGATTTGTAACAATTTTGGTAGCAGCATGTTAGAAAAACTCGGGTGACAGCAGAGGAGTCTCAGCCACGGTTGATGAGATGGTCACGGGGTGGATGCAAGTAAGGCAAATGGAGGTAGTCTGATGTAATTACCTACTGATGAGATAATGGAAGGCTTGTTTAGGTTCTGATTCTCAGGGGACTCGAGGCCTTCCAGCCGACTTGACTGACTGGCCAACTGTGAGAAACAGCCACCTCTTACTTACACAGTCCCATCCATTCCTTTGTTAAGCCCACCAGAAACCTAAGACGTGCTCTTCCGAGGCCGATTAAGGCCGCTTGAAGGCCACACTGACTTATCGGGGACAGAGGTCCTGGTTGTGATTTTGTTATATTCATGACTCACCAAGTCTCTGGGAGCACAAGAATGTTTGAAAGAGAACTTGGCCCCGATCTAAGTCTGATAAACAGTCAATCATTGTGTTAATGGGGAATCACATAAAGGTTGAGACTTCTTCAGGTTAAACAAAGCGCATCTTTTAAGACTGTGACTAAGAACCTCGGTCACGCCTAGAGCTTCGCATCACTGAATCATTATTATTGTATCAGCCAAATCAAGGAATTCGGTGTCAAAGCGCAGTGATTTGAGCATGCCGCATCATCTGAGGCTCTCATAGACTCTTCATTGTTGGTCCATGTGACATCGATTCACAGTAAGTTGAAGCGGGCCTCTTCGATGCGAGAACGCTATATATTTGCCAGTTGTCGTGCCTTTGTCCTTCAGTCGACTATCCAAGATTCAATCCTTCATAGACCAACTCACTAAGAACTCACAGACGAACGCTGATTCAAAGCAAGCGCCCATATATTGTTGCCTCTGATCTAAAGATTAGTCACGTACAGTGGAAACGACCACCAGAGATATGGCTTGTTAGTGACAACCTCCCTGGGGCTGTTCAGTCAGTCCGCAATATCTCCCCCAATGACTCAACGTTCTAACACTCAATTAGCTCTCATCAAAGTACTCTTCGTCGTGGGCAACAACGAAAGCCTGAGACGAAAACTCCTGCGCTTCTGGGACGAGCTGACCTCGACCACGGGCTGGAGACTGACCGGCTACGGAAGCTGGGCCGTGGAGGAGGGCTCCGTGCCGCTGCCGGGCCTCATGGTCGTGACGGCCAGGGAGACCAGCTGCCTGCAGTGCTTCCCGGCCTCGGCGGAGGCGATTCTGCTCGCCCACGACTTCGTCCGGGTCAGGACGATCATGGGACACCAGTCGGTCAACGCGCGGTACTTCAGGGCGCCCGGGGGAATTCTCCCTACCGTGCGGCGTTCCGCCCTCCCGAACCAGGCGCTGAACTACCCCAGCATGTTCAAAGTCGTCCTTGGCGGGCAGTCTGCGAACCAGGCGGTCCCGCGGGGCAGGTGGCAAGGGTTCTGGTACAGGTTCACCGAGACGCGAACCTGGCAGTGGACCAGGTTCACGCACTTCTCCTTCCAGAACGACACGGTGCTGGTCGCGGCGGCGGCGGAGGAGGCGTCGGGCGCCATGTACACCATGGCGCAGGAGATACTGCAGGCTCACGGGTTCAGAGCAACGCTCCCCGAGACGGCAGTGATCCCGGAGTTCCAGTCCCCCGCCGACATCCCCGACGTCAAGCTGAACGACTTCCTCACGCACCCCAGGTCAAGGCTCGTCAAGGTGTTCTTTGTGGATGGCACGGGCCCGGGTGTGCTGCTGCCCCGCCCCAGGCTGCGCAGGTTCATGGATGCTTTGGTGGCATCCGAGGCCGGCATGAGAGCCGGATACAACTGGAACTTCTCCCGTGATCATGAGATTCTCTTCTCTGCAGGGTCCGACGTAACCTGCTTCAACGAACTGGCTCGTCTCCTCCGGAAGAATGGTTTCGCTTTTCTGGGGCATCGAGAGGATGTCCCGGCGTTCCAGGCGCCGCTCATCATCCCCGAGTTTTGTGCCCTTTAAGTGTATCCTGCTTCATCAGCCTATACGTGTTGCTCCTTTGTCAAGGGAGTTGATGATTCTGCCGATCGTGTTCGACAGTACCGGCTTTCTACCCCTGATGACATTGTTATTCGGCATGACTTGACGAATTTTGTTAGCGGTTGGTTCCATGAGGCTTTTCACAATCAGATACCCAGATTTGCTCGGCGTCTTTCGGTTTGCGCTTTTCGCGATTTCAGTCTAGCAACATTATGTAATCGGAGGAAACTAACGATGGGATGTTACTTCATTATCATTCAGTTCTATCTTGCTGTCTCTATTCCTATGACAGAAATAACAGAAATCTTTTTCGTTGTCTCGTAATTGCTTCTACAGCTTGGCATTGACGCTCTCCTCGCGGCCCTGGAGGTTGGGGTGAGGGTTGCGGATCGGACGAGTCACGGCGTAGAAGGCTAGGCCGTCAGACTTGGTAGAGAACTAAAAGAATTATATCTATTAGCTTCATACGTATGATTCACAGGCCTCGAGAACAGAACACGGTTTCTATAGCGGGATCGAGAAGTTGGGGAAGCGACGCACCTTGACCTTGGATCCGACGTGGAAGAAGGCGAAGTCTCCAGGGACTAGGTGGTGAGTGATGCCAGTGGCCTCGTCCTATTTCGGATGTTAGTCCAGACGGATTACTTCCAGCAAGGATCGAGAATTTGTGCCAATGAGATGTTTCCAAGTCAATGGATACATCTCGCGCCTAGAACAAGGGAGAAAGAATGGAATTGCATACTAGAATATCAATTTGGCCCTGGAGGACATACTTGGTCTCCTCAAAAGTGTAATGGGCGGGGCGAGCAGGTCCAGCAGTGATCTTGTAGAACCCAGAGGTGAAGTGAGCCGGCGAGTCCGTGGTCTTGGTGCGGATAGAGTGGAAATCAGCCGTGGTAGCGTTCTCGCCCTGGGGAAGGGGAATGAACTCAGAGCCGGCGCCCTTGATAATGGTGAGAGGAACGAGCTTGTCAGACACTGGACATAGGGTTAGAGCTTCCTGGCCTCAGGTCGGGTCAGGGGTAAGGAGCTTACTTTTTACTATTTTGGTGTATCCGTAAGATAGACAGGGAAATCAATTCGAAGATTGAGTTCGCGGGGCATATCGATTAATATACCCTTCTGTCAAGAACAGATAGCGACATATTCGGTGCATTCTCGGGATGCGTCGCAAAAACCCCTGCCGGTGGTGAAATCGGGACCATTCCCGCCATTTAGATCGCCATACTGCCAATTAGAGATCATGCCGGCAGCCATCCACTCTAGCCTACAGCGGGCTCGCGTAGGCTAACCCCAGATGAGGAGGAGATCTCCATCCATCTTGCATCAGTATTAGGAAAGCATGTGTCGGAATGGATCCTAGTTGTGCTCGCGGCGAAGTGTCCAGTCCGAGAAGCCGTCACAAAGATAGCAAATAGAACCAAAACCCTTCTCGAGGCTCGATATAATCAATCTTCACACTTGAGTGATCAAACATGGTTGAAGGCCTATTTCCAGGGGCCCGGGACACTACTGCAAGGTGCGCCGGCCAGCGATCCGATCAGGTGATCGGCTGGCGTCCGTAGACCATCTCCTCGACCAGAATCAAGTCTTCGGCTGACGAACCGATCAGACCTATCATGGTGCCTTTCCGGAAGTAGCCAAGTTCGAATTAGCTGGATTCCCCCTCTTGGAATTGCTCGGATGTGATTCGGTGTTCGTTTTGTGTGGCATCATGGCATCGCGTGTGGCTGGCTATCATATATGAGACGATCAAGATGTATGTCGATCCGTGGATTCTGAAAGTACTCGATGACAGTGCTGCTCTTGGTCCTTTCTTTGGTCTCGGTCGTCTCGTTTCTATTGTCGTCTGTTATGTCAGCATTGAGCAGTATCCTCATCATACCTGGGCATGTACCCAACATGGAGCTGAGAGTTTCGATTTGAATGCTGAACGGCGTCCGGTTGCTAGCAGGCACAATTAGCAACCAGTCCGAGCCCAATAAGCTCAAGTGCTGCTTGGCGTGGAGGAACTTAAGCCATGATACAGACTCGCCATGATCTAGACGACAGGGCCAACGCAGATAATATAGCATCTTAGATATTTGGAAGATCGGAACGAGAGAAGAATGTAGTGCCGAGAGTGGGTGCTCGAGTATCCGTCTCGTCAAAACAGTGTAAGTAAAATGCAATGGCGAGGAGTCCAAGAGTGCTCATGGGGGATCATTTTCTTGAAACATGTCAAGGGGAAGGAGCGACACTAGTCCATCAGTCTAGTCTCGTGATCACCCGAAGGAGATGTGAGCTAGAGGAGTCGGGCGGTGAGAGAACCGAAGAAAGGTCCGGCAGAACAAGGAGCTGGATAAGGGCTTCCCACTGTCTAGAGAGCTCGCAGCCTCGCAGCATAGGGGGACTTCACAGGACAAGCTGTCAACCGAGAAAGTCAGCACTATAAGCAAGGCGGCAGTAGACGCAATCACGAGCAAAATTGTCCCACAACTTTCAATCACGCACCGATAGCCACCCAAAACGTCACGTTCTCTAATGAGGTTCACGTAAAGATTTTCGAGTCCCAATATCCAGAAAACAAGGAATACTCGAACCGCGAGACTGCCGAACCGACTCTCCTCCACAGTGACGACGACACGTTGGGCATCATGAGCTCTCGTCCAGCTGCCTGCAAAGCTCTTGCAAGAGCCTTTGGAAGTGAGTTTTACTTTTAAACGATTCTAACTAACTAACTAGGACTATGGAGATTTACAAGGGCAACAAAAGTCTGTATATACCACTAAATAGCAGTAGGTAGACGCCCTTTGCCCTCACCACGGATGCCGGCGTTAAGTACATACACGCACACACACACATACACACATCACCAACAGCATATTAATATAACCGGAACGATAGTAATCTGAAGTTGTATATTAATATACTACAACACCTCAGTTCTCAAAATTTTCCACTTTTTTGGTCGTTGGTCGCACTGGATATCATCGTGTCTCTAACCACCATGTAAAAGCAGGCAGATTGCCCATCTGAGAACGATACTCTATGCGCATGCTATGGTGTTCCTGGTCCCACACAAATGTGACGAGGAATGAAGGGGGCAAACGGTGAGATGAATTAGTGTTCGCAACCTATGTGAACTCTCTAACAGACAGTGCGGTCTCTACCAAAAGCTAAGTAGAACTAAAGGTATTCTCGTTGCTATCTATTATCTCACGGACTAGACGGAGATAGTAGCGTTGTAACTCAAACTAGTGAAAGGATGTCAAAGCATGCTGTCGTCCAAATTATTCCGCAAATAACGATCATATAAGCAGCCAATGGACAACAGGCCAAAAAATGCAAATGATAAAAGTACCAAACAAGCGTCAACGCATTGATCTCTCAGACAGAGTAGACATAGCTGTCGTTCCAGCTGTAAACCCAAACCAGATCATCCGCCCAAGACAGTTCCATCCAGGTATTGAACATGGCTGGCGAGTCTTGCGGGTAAAATGCCACATCGGCAATGAGGCAACGAGACTCATCCTGGAGAAAGTTCAAGAACAACGCCGGAGACTTCCCGGGCACAGAGAGAGGCTTCTCCGCCCAATCAATGCGAAAGCTACCGACGCTTCTCTCTGAAGAGTCTTCATAACGTAGTAGGAGCCCACACACACGAGGGTACTGTCCGACTACTCTTGACCTGGAGATGACTATTTCCAAAAGTCCACTCAGACTGGCTGATGACTGAAATAGCTCCTTGTCCTGAAGGCGAGCTGGCAGAGGGTCCGGGAGGATAGGAGGGAGGGGTTTGAAGGGGTTGAAATATCGCGAGCGGTTCAGCCCTCCATTCTGTGGCCCAATGACAAATCCGCTTGTGCCTCCTTCGAAACGAGGATATTCCATCCACAAGGTATCAGTGTCGAAATCCGAGAAAGTTGCAATAGAGTCCCATCCCCACGCGTTCTTGAACGTAATTTTTTCCCCTAGGCTTACGTTTTCCGCGTATGGTCCGAAAATCAAGTCCCGCTTTTTGCTTGTTCGAAACTGTTCGAGAAATATGGATTAGTATCGTCATCTAGTTGATTGGGGACAGGCAGAATGGGCACTCACAGCCATGGTAAATTGACGTTGTGGACGTTTGTGTCGATTGTACAACAAGCTGAGGTCCGTGAGACGCTCTCCGTTGACTTTTGGGGCATATTCCCAGACGTAGTTGTCAGTGTAGCGTGCCACGTCCTCATAAAAAGAAAAGGTTTCACCTGGCTGGTGTGCGTGGATATACACTAGCCCCGCCCCTGTCTTTCGCTCACTCTTCCAGTTGGGGATTTTGATCCAGCAGACCGAGTATCCGGTGCAGACAGGCTGATTGATGGGTATAGATACCATATTGATGATTGCCTTAGGGGCGAGGGAGGGATAGAAGAACAATTGGTCAATGTCTTGGGGAGAAATGGGTTCGGACCATAGGCAGTTATCAGGAGAGACCGGTCGACCTAAGCCCAACGCCTGTTTTCCTCCCGGACTGTAGTGAAGCTTGAGCGACTGAATGTTTAAACATTAGATCCAGAACCGTAAGAAGACTGCTCAGGTGAGGAACTTACATCCGTGGTGAAGGAAATCTTCTCTCCCACCCCCAAGGGCACAACCCGCCACCACGCAGACACCTCAGCTTTGTTTGCCGGGGGCTGTGCTGAGGATACCATCTCTCGAATCCCCAAATGGTCCTCGAGAATGTACAAGGGGTGTTCAAAGGACATATCGCGAGCTCGGAGAGCCAACTTGGCTCCATTTCCTCGCTTGTTTGCGAGCTTTGACACATAAGAGATGCCATCAATTTTGGCATGGGTTGCCCAAATATCCTTGGTCGTGCTCACTTCAGTGCTATCGCGAAAAGGCAAACCCAGCATTGAGCAGATGGCAAATTCAGAGACCAAATGATCGGCAATTGACTTCCAAATGTCCAGAGGCAAAGCAACCCGCGTTTTGAAGCGTTTGGAAAGTTGCATGGCCAGCTGACCTCGGATATGAAGCAACCTGCGCTTCTCTTCAGAAGCTGGAGGCTCGTAGGTGTATAGGCTAGCGGCAAAGAGTCTGCTCATGGGCTTTCCCTTGTTGGGATGCAATAAGAGCTTCGCCTTCATGAACATCTCTTTCGCATGTGAGTCAAATCTTTGTCTCTTGCTGTTGATGTTGATCACCTGGAGCTGGTTGCCGACCTCGGTCACCCGTTCCTTCGTCGGGTTGTAGACTAGGAATAAGTCGGACTTGTATGCGGCCTTGGTCACAGTAGTGCCTGATAATGGCAATTCATGATGGAAATGCGTGATATCGGTAGATACTTGGGCCTCGCGTACCGCATGCTTGGGGTCAAGCTTGTTGGCAAAATGGAGACATGCGAAATGACAGCCGGTGCCAAGGTAGTGGTCGCCGTTTGCTTTATCTGCAGAGGAGGTGCACACGATTTCTGCGTTCAGAGCCTTGTCCATATGCGAGTCATGGTAGGCGTAGAGAAAAGGCTTCGAATGTTTGTTGTTGAGTGTAACTAGGATTTTTGAGATTAGCAAGTGCTGGTGATGACCACCAAAGAGTGTATCATGCAACTCACCCACGACAACCACGTCGTTTTCTTGAAACTTGAAGCGACATAGTCGGCAATGAGGGAAGACAAGGAGGGTTTGTGTCTCGCGTAGCCATCCTTCTATGTAGGACGGGGGCATATTTTCCTTGGTTTCCTCCCTGGAAATAGAGGAAAAGCCAACCGATGATGGCGGCGGGGCAGGGCCGGCAATTGAGGACTGGGAGAACATGATGACAGGATGACAGTTGAATTTGTAGGTACAATGATCCAGGTTCAGGCCTCAAAAGAAATGGCGAGCCCGTCTTTCACTGCAAGTGACAAAGCACTCGGAGTTGTGGTGGTGAAAGCATTGTTTTGTTGAAGTTGGGCCAGTGAACTTGGCCAGGTGAGGACACTTTGAGTTGAGTAGGTGCAGCCAGCTGCCTGGTTCTCAAGGAAGGCGCTGTCCACGTCACAACATTCACGCACAGGCCACTCTAGTTCGAAAACTGTTGTTACAGGAAGCCTGAGCAATTCACTGCAGGTAGGTACCCTACTGGGCATGAACTAGGTACTAGACCTACCTGCCTGCTTAACTGTGAATTCCTGGGTGGTGACGTGATCACCACTACATGAGGTAGGGTGAATTCCAAAATTTGACATCGTAGCAATGCCTACCTTATCTGCCAGTTCCCTTGCTGCTATTCTTCTTGTATTGGTGCCCTAATATAAGTAGTGGGAGGGTCCTTGCTACTCGGTTGTGATCAACAAGCACTTCCGCCTGAGGTATCCATATCGCCTGAGCCATGTGCTTCGGTGATGCCCCCGAATAGAAGGAGTCCGGCCTATGTAGCTCAGTAGAAATTTAATAATAGTGCATCTTCATAGACATTTCCCGATACTAAGATGAGCTTGCTCGAAATCATGCTAACCCCCGCTGGACTTTGTGCTTGGCATCCTCAACTCCCGCCATGTGCGAAGGACATTACGAACTGCCAATTCGTCCCCATGGGGTAGAGCTACCAAATAATCGACTTGCAAGGAGAGTCCCTTGAGGACGTCCCCCGATATCTCGGTGTCCTCTTGCTTCTTAACATCTCCGTGAAGGAGAATGCCTCGAGAACGCAACAGCATACGGCCACACCTGGCACTTGGCAACATATTTCAACTGGAACCCCTCCCAATAGGTCGTCTGAGTATGTTTGTCCCTTCAGCTCAGCTCTATAGCCACTTTATCACTGGTTCTGAGCAAAGTGCTTACTCTAGCAACAACGATCCAAACGAATCCCAAACCAGAGAAAACGAAGCACTGTCTCACGCCAACCCAGTCTCGTGATGGCGTGAGGGAAGTCTTGCCACAGAACGAGCTCCGCCGAGATTTGAAGCCCCGACAAGCCTCCATATTTTCTATCGCTTGCGTACTGATGATCGGTTCAGGAACTGTACTTTGTCAGGCAGGTCCAGCAAGTCTCTTGATCAACTACCTTGCTATTGGCACAATGGGCTTCTTTGTCATGGCTTCCCTCGGGGAGATGGCGGCGCTTCTACCCATAAACAAAAGCTTTGGTGGCTATCTTCGGAATATTGATCCAGCCGTCGGGTACGATTTGTCTTGCACAGGCCAGAAGAAGGCTTCAGCTTATGCACTCCAAGGTTTGCTATCGGATGGAAGCACTTCTTCAAGTACGTCATCGCATTGCCTGCCAACCTTACTGCTGCTAGCCTTGTAATTCGATACTGAGCGCCTGATCTGAATGCTAGAATCTAGATCGTAGTGTTCAGGCTCGTAGTAATTTGTATCAATGTGAGTCTCACTGCTACCAGATGATCCTATCGGCCCAACTAAATTGATAAACTTCTTCCATATCAATGCGTTCAGAAAAACACCGAAGTCACAGTTATGTGCATCCTGATGACTCCTATGAGACTACCGTCAGTCATAACTTACCTTCTAGTACGTACCTTTTGGGCAAAGCTGGTCAAGCGCATCTGTCGAGGAAGAGATGCTCTTTTCCCCGGACTTAAAAGCTGGAAGCACTGAAGGCATCAAGGTCGTTCCCAATAACATCATCCGCAAAAGTGCGGGACCAGCCTTGATCTACCATTGTGAGCGGCGAAGTCCCTATGATTGTGTCTTAACTGAAAGATGAGTTGGTGATTATTGAGGAGACGCAACAGCATTACCACGTGAGCTGCACAGTGACGGTATTCTACCCCGAGCCAGCATTGGCGATATCCCTACCTCAATGCAAAAAGGCCTAGCCGAAGTCTCACACTCCTTTTCTCTCTCATTCAGGTTTTGCCCCAGCTCCCCATACACTCTAGATGCGTGTCAGAACATTCCGTGGAGGAAATAATACAAGCAGAATTCATCATAGAAGCACTGTCCTGCCGAGACTGGGGTATTGGAAGAGACTGACAGAGGCCGTTTCCAGCGCACCGCAAGTGGCATATTTATTCTCCAACCAAACTGCCATGATCCCACTGCTTTAGACTTCTCCAAGGAGCTGTGGCGGGGCTTGATTGCTATCATGAAGAGACAGCAGCTGATCCCCCCTTTTTACATTGCCTACCAAGGCCTCGGAAATGGCTTGGAGGATGACATATGATGCGTCCGCCACTTTGCTCAGGAGGGCTTTGAGATGCTTGTCTGCCAGTCCTTCCCCAAAGGCTTTGGCCTCTGCGGTGAGAGAGTCGGAACACACTCAGCAGTTGCCTCAACGCAGACAGCCGCTGCGGCAGTTCACGACCAGATTCGCTTCCTGATGCGATCAGAATTCTCGTCATCCCCAACTTTCGGTGCCCAACTGGTTACCCATGTGCTTTCCGACCCAAGCTGAGAAGCTTCGTGGTAAGTAAAAGAAGAGGAGCAATTCTTCCATGTCCTTGCTGTACTGACTCGTGGCCCTCTTAGGAATGAAGAGCTCAATGGCCTTCATCAAGGGCTCCAGGCTCTCCGCGCCAAGCTCTTCTACCAGCTGAGCAATGTCTACAAGAGAAGACGATAGGTGCAACAATCTCAACTCATGAGATTAATATGCCATAAACTCACAGACCCCGGATATTGGGGCGTAATAGCCAATGGGAATAGACTTTGTTGGTAAGTCGTCCTCGGCGAACTCTTGTCTCGAATCATGATGCTAACTGATGTAGCCTGTTGCCTCTTTCTTCTCAGCACTGAGAGGAACTGAAGACCAAGTTTCATATTTATATGGCACCAAGTGGCCGGATAACGATACCAGGGCTCAATGCAAAGAAGATAGATCACGTAGCGAAAAGTATTGACTCAGTGATCAAAGACACCGAAACGCATGCTAGCAATCAGCCTGTAGGAAGTAGAATAAAGCTTTCAACCAGCGCCGTGGATAGACTTAGGATTGCTATGAAATTTCTACCCTACAGAAGAGAGAGAAATTCGCATCCATCAAGATCATCGAGAGACAACCATACACTACTTGAGCAAACCGATCTCCTTCTCCAGCTTATCTCTCTACTTCTTCGCATTGTGCTCCCAGCCGCGCACTCATGGTAGAGACGCGGGGTTACTCTGAAATTTCTAACCTGCAGACGAAAGAGAAAATTCGTACCCATCGAGATCAGTGAAGGATTACCATGCACTCCTTGAGCAAACCGATCTCCTTCTCCAGCTTAGCTCTCTGCTTCTTCGCATCTTGGTCCTCACCCACAACCTCATCAAGCTGCGCAGAGGCCAAACCTGATACAAACTGGGGTGAAAAGAGCTTCAGAGGCGTGTTTGGTCCCGTCACCAGAAAGTGGTCAGCAGCCTGCATGCGCACATTGTCCACAAAGCGCTTGCGGGCAAGCTCGTAGTATGACTTGAGAATGTCATGCATCTCTTGCACGACCTGCTCGTCGTTGCTCAGCTGGTGTGCTTGGACAATGTCATCCAGACGGACAATGCGTCCATAGTCTTTAGTAACGATCGTTCGAGATTCGAGTTCGTTCTTCACTCTCTCGGCGCGGCTGTGATTGTCAGCGTTGAACCAAAGTCGCAACGAATCTAGGTGCATACCATTTGCCCAGAACCTCGGTGAATGCATGGTTGTACGTGGCCAGCGTCCCCTCCAGCTCGATGCTGAGTAGGAAGTCCACCTGTTCCATGGCCCGGAGGTACTTGGCTTGAAGATGCTCCGACAGAACTGGAACCAGGCTACCCAGAAGTTTCTTATCCGAGATAATATGGTTTAGAAGATCCAGAATGAAGGTGTGAACAATCGCGATCATATCACTGATGTAGCCCTTAGACAAAGCCCTCCATTTCCCAGCCTGGCGCTGCATTGTCATGGTCAAAAGGGAGCCATCAAATGACCCAATCTCGAAGCCCCTGTTCTTGCGGTGTACGCCGGTGAGCCACTCAAGGATGCCGTCACTCCGAGGAAAAGTAATATGCTCTGCCTCTGTGACGTAGCGAAAAATGTCTGCATCCTCTGTCACTAGCCTGGTAGACTTGCAGGAGGTTTTCTAACCCAATGGCTCGTCGCCGAAGCTGGGAGTAACAGACCCGTCCACATCCAAACTGTCGCAGTCTTCGTCTTCTTCACCTTCGTCTTTGTCATCTCCGTCGGTCTCCTCGTCCACAAAGTTGAATTCGTGTCCCATGTCGGCCATCATCTCGGCAAATATCTCGCCTCTATTGACAGCTACAGTTGCCAGGCGCCGATTTGCAACTTCGTCAAAGAAGTCTGATAGAACGTATTGAGCCCGAGACGCAGAGTTGGCGAGATACTGAAATTCGGATGCGATGTCGGTCAAAAACTGTCTCTGCTCCTTCGTACTTTGACGTTTCGGTCCCAGCACACGAAGCACCTTCTCGGCAGCATGTAGTTTCTTCTCGATATCTGCTTTGATCTAATTGCTACATCAGCATCTTCGGTTTTCGATTGTGTAGGGCGGTTCCTCTTACCTTGGGAAACTCGCTTCGAATATGATCGGAGACTGAACTCTTGCCGCTCAATTGCTGCCCTACAAGAACAAGCTGGTGCAGGTCGATATATTCACCTGCATTGCAGGCCAACAGTTGATCAATCTTCGCGAGGAGGGACGCATCGTCAACCAAGTTGACTGAAGGGGGCTTATTGCCAATAGGCAACTTGACAACGACGGGGTGGTTCTCATCCATAGTTGATCGCCGTGTCATATATATGAAGGGGGTAATAGAACGAAGATTATTTTTCCTAGACTACCTACTGAGATACAGTGGCTTACCTGCGTATACCTTAGTAGGTACCTAGTTCCTTGGTAGGATGATGGTGATGAGGAAAGAGCTACCAATTCACACCAACCGAGTTCATCGCATTACCATATTCAATTAATCCCCAAGGTACCTAGTAGGTAAGATGATCCTATTGTAGCTATACTGATATCCAAGATGGAGGTGAAATAGCAAGTCGTTTAGGATTTGCTGAAAAAAATCAGAGGAAGAAGCAATGATTGCTCTGTTAGCAGTATAGGGTATGCCGGTAGCTACGGAAGGTATGACGATGACGGTGAGCCCCCCAAGAACTCTCACCACTACAGATGACGGCGTGCGTATCACGTCCATGCGCTTGCGTCGTGGCCGCTATGACCAAATTATTAATCAGGGCTTGACAAAAAGAAAACCAGAACATCCTGCCATTGTGAGATCGAATCGAGGTTCAAAATGGCAAAAATCGACGCCTGCAAGATTCGAACTTGCGCTCCCGAAGGAAATGGCTTAGCAGGCCATCGCGTTAACCACTCCGCCAAAGCGCCGCCGGTTTACAATGGACTGGGGCTAAGAGAAGTACATGAGCCTGCGCTCAGTCACATCCTCACCCGCCTCTCTTTCTTCTGTCTCCAAGGAGATTGAATTGGAAAGTTATGTCGCGGTGCAAGAATTTTTCCCCCCTACCGTGGAAGCCCCTAAGCCCATTGCCCCAATGCTTCTAGATGTATTTTAAGATTGCCAAACTTCGTCGGGATCTTAATTAGCAGCTGTTGCCTACCTAGCCTTGGAGGTACGGCGGCCTTTGGTCAGCCCCTCTGAATCCGGGCTGGATATTCCACGAAGTTAGCCAAACCTGCCCTTTTTTGAGGTGACGTCCTACCAACCTACATACAATTGGGAGTAGTTCCCCCGGCGCGTTTTCTACCTGGCTGTCAGCATTATCGGTTCAATACCTCCACAACACAATGGTGGCAACGAGAGATGAAACAATGCCGCGCGTGGGCACACTTCATTCCCACGGCCTAAAATTCTGTGACGTGAGAATATATGCACAATTTTGGTGTTCATTTATCAATCGGCGGCGCTTTGGCGGAGTGGTTAACGCGATGGCCTGCTAAGCCATTTCCTTCGGGAGCGCAAGTTCGAATCTTGCAGGCGTCGATTTATTTTTGCAATTTTCTCGTCTACTTTTTGCCTTCTCCTCTACTATCACCCCCTATAATTGATACCCATTAGATCAGTGCAAAGTTGTATTTATATGCTTTGGGTCGTCGCCGACTGAATCCCCGTACCCTACCCAGATGTAAGTGCAGCTTACCTCAACACGCCATACATGTGCACAAGAACCGGCAGCGTAGCCACCGTGGATTCCATCAACGATTCAATTCATGCAAAATACCAGCAACTAGCCGCAATTATGGATGGCCATCTATCAGACGCGCAGCTAAGGGAGTTTACATATGAGGGACAGTTTGACGACCATACTCTAGACGGGAACCTACCGCCAGTTGAAGCTCTGTTACCCCGCGAAGGCACAGCGACCATCGGCACTCTCAGCCGCCTAACACGAGAGTGCCTACATATCATATTCAACCAGCTCGACATCGACGCAATAATCAACTTCCAATCCACAAGCCACGGCTCACTAGCCTTTATCTCTTCCCTGCCCACCTACGCCGCCATCAGCAAGCACGCGCGAAACGCAATCCGCGGCGCCAGGATCATCGGCACGAGCCATCGCACGACGTGCCCCGAGCTCTACCGCAAGCTCCGCCAGTCCACGTGCGATAACTGCGGCGAGTTCGGCGGCTACATCTACCTCGTCACCTTCAAACGACTCTGCCTACTATGCCTCTCGACGCACCTGTCATTCCTGCCCGTAGGGCGGCAGTGGGCGTGCCGCTACTTCGGGCTCGACAGCAGTACCGTGAACTCCCTGCCGCGGTTGCTTACCCTGGGCGGGAGGTACTCGCCGGAGGGCGTCAGACTGCAGAACAAGCAGATCCTGGTGGACTACGACGCCGCTCGCGAGGCGGGCATCGCGCGGCACGGCTCCCTGGAGGAAATGGAGGCGTACGTCGCGGCGGCCCGGGGGCGAGCTGGTCGGCGCAGGGGACCTCCTGATGGGAAGGCCGGCAACCCGCTGCGCTTCGCGGCCGTGGTCCGATTCCCCTGGTACGACGAGGCTTCGGGCGAGCTGGAATGGGGCTTCCACTGCAGAGGGTGCGAGAAGTCGGAGCAGCGGTCAGCGCTCTGCCGGAAGAAGTACAACGTGACGTCTTTTCGCAGGCATATTCAAACGTATGGGCCGGTGCAAGATGGGGAGCACAGGAAGTGCGTTACGTTCACGGACTAGATTTTGCATATCGACCGGGACACAGTAGAAGGCAAAATACCTAGGCAAGTCATTGAAACTCAATTGAATTAATCATCACTAGTAAATATCAAACAGATCTGAATAGAAGCTTACCGCATGATGACGAATCGTCATATGACGGTAGTACAAAAACCGCTTTTTAATCCCCCCCTCCCCTTCCCTTTTTAAGCATTGCGCTCAAAGGTTAGAGGAGTCTCCTATTCAACAGTAGGCGACGAGCCCTGAGCGACAGTGACGGGCGAGGCCAAGGTAAGGGTGACGGGAGAGCCGTTGAGGGTAACCCACTCGATAGGGGGCTCAGTACCAACCTTGTCATTGGAGGTAGATCCACCAGAGGCAGAGGCAGAGCCCGAGGGGAGGGTGACTGGAACAGGCCTACTGCAGGAGTTGCCGTTGGCGGTGACGATGACCTTGTTGATCGCCTTGCCATCGTCCGAGTAGCCATATGCGAGCTGGGGGTTGCAGTCGTCGACTGCCTTACGGTCACGGAAGTACGCAGCGACGAGATCTTGCGTCATGGAGATGACGGGCCAGTTGGTGAGACGCATGAGCTCCTGGAGGACGGTCTCGGTCCAGGCAGTAACGAGGGACATCTGGCCGGTCTGGTCACCAATGGTAATGCTCTCGACGCCAGTGTAGTACATATTGGCCTGGTGGAACATGTAGGGGTCAGACTGGAGGGCCAAAAGATTACGCATGACAGCCTCTTTCTCGACACGGAGAAGCTCGTTGAAGTCGCCCGTGCCCGCAGAGGTATCTTGCCACTCCTTGAAGTTGCATGCGTGGGTATGGCAGTTGTAGTAGATACGTGTAGCGTAGCGAGGGATGATAGTGACGCCGTCATAGCCATTACGGTCAACATTGGTAATCAAAGGCCAATAGGCGTTATCGGGGTTCCGGGTCATAGGACGGGTGTTGTCACCGACAGCGTTGTCAAGACCAGCATCCAACCAGGCCTTCAGGGCATCAGCGTTGTAGAGACCAGTGATCTGAGGGGGCACAAGACCCTTGCCAGAATAGTAGCGAGCCTGATCAATACCAATCTGCTTCAGCCAGTCCTGATTAAACTTAATCTCGCGATAAGCATCAGCATAGGTGATGTTATTTTGGTTGAGGTGGGTAAATGTGTGCGAGATGTGGCTGAACTCATCGCGGTTGGCGGGGACGGCGAACCACTGGGTCAGTGGATCACGAGAGCTGAGGGTGCAGTTGGGCTGCCACTGATACTGCTGGGCCCAGGTTGGCCACTGGTCGACACCGGTGTTGATCGGCTTCTTGACCTCATGGGGGGGATCAGGCAAGTACTCGTAGTAGACAGCTTCCTCGGGAACACAGACCAAGTCACCTCCGGCGCCAAGGGTAGCGTCCATGATGTTACCGTTACCATTGTGGGCCATCTCCAGTCGGAAACTAGAGCCAGGAGGAAGACGAGCGGCGAGATTCTTCTGCCAGGAGACGTGATGTTCCACATCGGCGACAGTAATCTTGGTCTCGACGGTAGGGGGTTCGTACATGCCAGTCGCCAACATAACATCGTCAATCTGAGCGAGGACATGAGTCTTACGCTTGCCGAGGAAGAGACCTCGGGTCATCCAGTGGATGTGGCCATGCTGAAGGTAGCTGGAGGTCAGAGACCACTCAGGAGCCCAGCTCAAGAACCAGACGAATTGTTCACGGCCGCTGAAGTTGTTGATGACAGCAGCGACAGTACCATCGACAAAACCACCCCCTGCGCCAAACTTGGCAACGACCTTTGTAGTAGCGGCGTCGGTAACGGAAGCGGGAACGTGGTAAAGACCCTCGGTAGTGACACCGGCGTTACTGAGACACCACTGTTAGAACATGATTCACAACACAGGAAAAGATGGCTACTTACACCTTGACATTGGCAGTAGAGAAGTCGCTGACATCGGAGAAGTAGACGGGCTGATTGACACCAGCGTTACAGCATCCACCACCGACGGGCAGAGTGCCAGAGCCAGAGCCGGGGTACTCGTTGATGCGGACCATACGCACGTTGAAGTCAGTCTGGTAGTTGTGAATAGTCGTCCATTGCTCCGTGGTGATGGCGCTGCGCCAACCTTCGGGATACTCATAGGATACGGAGTCGAGAACAATGATACCACCATAGTTGCCGACGGTACGGGAAGAGTTCAGCACAGGCAGCTGAGTGCCGGCGGAAGGCACAAGGAGGTTCTCGAAGGGGATACCGTACGCCTGAAGACCAAGGCTACCCAGCTTAGCGGTGACGAGATCCTTAGCAATGATGAGGATCTTGCTGTCAATGGTAGCAGATGGGAGAGCAGATGTGGCGCTGAGAGTGCTGCTGGAGATGGGAGTGGTGCTCGAGATGGGGGTAGTGCTTGAAACAGGAGTGCTACTGCTGATAGGGGTGCTGCTAGAGACGGGAGTGCTACTGGAGACGGGAGTTGTGCTTGAGACGGGAGTTGTGCTTGAGACGGGAGTTGTGCTTGAGACGGGAGTTGTGCTTGAGACAGGAGTGCTCGACACAGGAGTGGAAGTGGCGCTACTCTCAGGGGTGCTGCTGGATACGGGAGTTGTGCTGGAAACAGGAGTGCTGCTAGAGACCGGAGTGCTAGTAGCTGAAGTGCTAGAGACCGGAGTGGAGCTAGCGCTGCTCTCAGGAGTGCTGCTGGCGACACTGCTGGTTGAGACAGGGGTAGAGCTGGCATGAGTTGTAGTCGAGTCAACAGAACTGCTGCTAGGTGTTGGGGTGCTCGAGACGTCAGAGGAGCTAACAGGAGTGGTGCTTTCAGAACTGCTGCCGGGCGTGGTAGAAGCTGCGGTGGAGCTACCGGGGGTGCTGCTCTCGGAAGGAGTGCTTGAGACACCAGTAGAGCTCACAGGAGTTGTGCTTGACACATCGGTAGAGCTAACGGGTGTTGTGCTCGAGACATCAGTAGAACTGACGGGAGTTGTGCTTGAATCAGTAGAACTGACGGGAGTTGTGCTTGACACATCAGTAGATCTGACTGGTGTAGTGCTCGAGATATCGGTAGAGCTAACGGGTGTCGTGCTTGAAACATCAGTAGAGCTGACTGGTGTAGTGCTCGAGATATCGGTAGAGCTAACGGGTGTCGTGCTTGAAACATCGGTAGAACTGACGGGTGTTGTGCTTGAAACATCGGTAGAGCTAACAGGGGTTGTGCTAGAGATACCGGTCGAGCTAACGGGTGTCGTGCTATCTGAAGCCGTGCTGGAGGCAGCAGTAGAGCTCACAGGTGTAGTGCTGTCGGAAGCGGTGTTGGAGATGGCAGTGGAGCTGACGGGGGTGCTGGACTCAGTCGAGGCAACGGGCGTTGAGCTGACGTCGGAGCTCACAGCAGTGCTGGACTGAGCATCGGTGCTGGAAGGCGTAGTGCTAGCTCCGGTCTGGGAACCAGAAGAGGCACTGGGGGTAGAGGAGGCATCAGTCGATGCAGCACTGGTAGAGGAGACTGTTGAAGAGACAGGCGAGGTAGCACTTGATGAAACATCAGAAGCGGTAGAAGCAACAGTAGAGGAAACATCTGAGGATGCGGGAGAGGAAGCAGCAGTCGAGGAGACACTCGAGGAAACAGCCGAAGACGAGGCGGCAGTGGATGAAACACCAGACGAGACTGCCGAGGAAGAGGCAGTGGATGAAACGCCAGATGATACTGTCGAAGTAGTGGCAGTAGATGAGATGCCAGAAGAGACAGCCGAGGACGAGACGGTGCTCACTCTCGAAGTACCGGCAATGGTACTGGAGGCAGTGACACGAGTGACGGAGACATTGTCAATGTAGACGCGAGCCAGACCACGTCGGTCACAGACGACGGAGATGGTCAGAGTGCCAGTGGTGCCGGTCGGTCTCACCTTGCCGGAGAGTTCACCCCAGGGGCCGTTGCCAAAGGCAGCGGGGAAGCGGGGAGTGTCTGCAAAGTTGACGCCGTTGAACGAGGCACGGATGCGGCAGCTGTTGGCGGGGGTGGCAATCAAGACCCAGTAGAAGAACTTGACAGTGTAGTCGGTGTTGGGGGTCAGGCGTCGGACAGTGGTGGAGAGAGTTGTGCCGACGATGGCCTGTCTCTTGTTGACGGATGTGTTGTCATCCTCGTCATCCTCGCCCTCAGTCTCGAGCTCGACGGTGCCGTCCTTGGGCGTGTTGTCGTCAGAGTAGCCCTCGTTGGCAACCCAGGTACCTTTACCGGTGATGGTCCATTCATTGGTTCCGTCTGCGAAGTCGGCGTTGGCGACCTTGATGATCTCAGTCGAGGATGGAGTCGCAGCAGATGTGGGTGTGCCGGTGGGAGTTCCAGTGGCTGAGATGGAGGTTGAAGGAGGTAAGGTGGAAGCGAGGCCGGTCGAGCGAACGCATCGCCGGCGAGTAACAGAAGCCTCGCCACCCCCGATCAGGCCGAGGGCGGCGACGGCAACGGAAAGGATACGCATGGGGAATGGATCAGACCCCTTGTTGGTAACAATGCAGAGCGATATTAGTAATTAAGATGGGAAATAAGAGTGTGCAAGCGAGTGTAATGGAGTACTCTAAAGGGAGTTACTCCGTGTGATGCTGTCTTCCAACGACGGCTCTAACGAGTGGTAACCGACTTGAAGATGGAGAATGGGGATGAATCAAACATCCATCGTGGGCCAAGAAGGAGGACGGATCAGTATATATTCACACAGCAGAAGCCGGAGCTAGGCTAGCTGCCTCCATTTTCCGCCTGCTGTCTTGTCCCAACCACGTTGGTTCTGACCTGCAAGAGAATGGACGTGTGTGGGCGGCTGCAGGGGGCGGGGGTGCGTGAGAGAAGAAAAACCTGCGGCAGAACAATGAGCCAGGTGTGTGTGAACTACCTAACATCTGGGCTCTCGGACAAGCCCTTGGGCACATTTTTGGTGTGACAAATGCAGGCTGTGCCCGTTAGCAGGTCAATGGCCAAGCCATCTAGCCCGGACTATGTGCTCGGGGACGGAGAGGAGGGACGGCTGAAATTGTCTGACCGGACGGGCTACTGGCTAGTCTGCCGCTCATCATCGAGCGTACCTGAAGCTGAGTGTGCACACAGCATCTACTAGTTCTGTTAAGCTTATGCGGGAGACTGGGGAGTCACCTTGACCCCTGGGCAGCCTGCATCGAGCGTAGCCCAGACCGTCGTGGCGGGCTCCATGGCCCTCAGCTGGTGCGATGCTTAAATGAAGCTTAATGCAGTCAGAGCAATAGCTTATGGCGACAGGCCAGCGCACAGCGAGCATAAGTCTCGTGCACCCTGTGGATGGTTAGATGGTTGGATGGGTGCAGTTCGTCTGCCGATAGAGCCAATCCGCCTGCACCAACGTTGGCAGACAACGGTCTGTGTCGTCCAAGTGCAATGCTCAACTGCTCGCCTTTCGGAAGGAAATTTTGAGTTTGGGCGTGCTGCCACCAGCGTCTGGTCCCCTGCAGTAGTCAGGAACAAGATTGCAAAAACCGACGCCTCGTCGCACCATCTGCACTGGCACCGTTGTGTAATCCGAATCACGGCCACTATCACCGTCAGCTTCAGCCACCATCACATCTCCTCAGGCTGGCGGAATGGCGGGGGAGGAATGTGTGCGGCAGGCAGTATGAAGCAGGCAGCTCGATGTCTGAGACCTGCATCGGCCAGCTCTAGACCTGGGCACATGTGCCAATGCAATATAATCCGTCACATTCTGTCATACGCTTGGCGAAGCAGCATCTCGTATTCAATTGCGATTTAATTGTGGTGCGCCGCGTGGCGTTTTGGCTTGTGCTTGGCTGCGCTCTTTTCCCTTTTTCCCTCCAGCGCCTGTGATTGCTCACTTTTTGCTTCAGCTGCCCACATTCATTCAGGCCTCCAACTCCAGCGAGATCTCGGCCACAGGCTGTCTGACTCTGACACACCAAGGCCTCCTCCCGATCGGCAATGGTCGTTCAGGGGTCCGGTAGCAGCGGTAGGGGGGATCAAGCTTAATTCGTATAGGCTCAGCCAAGCCCCGATGGCAGTCACTATTTGCGCCTGTCTCCAATAGCGCAGCCACCTGTTACAGCTTCCACCGTCACCAAGACCGACGAACGATGACAGCCAAGGAGACTGGACTGGTCGTGCTCGAGCCCTCTTCCGACCGAGAGTCAGCTTCCGCTTGGCTGCATGTCGCTCGTGGCACAGCACTCATCGCGCGTCGGTCGGTGTGTCTCGCCTCTCCCACGTTTGCCCTGTGCCCTTGGTGAGGTGCCGGCCGCCTCCATCCTTTCCCAAGCCCTAGGTCCTTATCATCGATTGATCTTCGTCTCACCGAGGGCCCGGTCAATGCTCTTCGTACATGGGTCAAGTCCAAAGGATTGCGGTTGATCAGCATCAGGGGTGAGAGTGAGGCATTCGGCAACCTCTGTTTCGTCATGTCTCTCCCGCCGCTCCTCTCATCTCCTCATTCTCATCACGCATCTGCAGTGCCCAACGGATTGGGCATGTGCTTTGCACATCCCGCCAAGCTGAATCTGCACCCTGGACAGTGGCTGCATGCTGAAACTCAATAACTATCTCAATACGAAGTGAAGTGTTGTTTTTTCTGCCGCTAATCGCTCAGGCCAATTGAGCAACCTGGAAGTTGAGGTTGCAGATACCCGAGCTGGGAAGACCCTGCCTAACGCCCTTTGTGCTCTTCCCTCCCTCAATGATGACGCTTCCAGACGCATCCACGACCTGCACGACCTGCTCACCGACTTTGACGCCCGCCACGGACTTGTAGTTCAAGCCTGCGTTCAGCGCATCCTTGGCAATCAGCTCGCCTCCGCTCCACACCTGGACGCTGTAGCCGCTTACTCCCTCCCCAAGCACAACTGCCCAGTTGACTCTGTCCTGCGCAGCTCCGTAGCCCCTGGGCGCTCCCAGAGAGTCTCCAGCGCACGACTCCGAGGCCAGAAGGAACTCGTGGTGCCACATAGCGCCAACAACATTGCTGCCCTCTGGCGGCCTCATTCCCGATGCATCCGCCCCGTTCTTGAATGCTGTGATGAACGACGCCACCAGGGGCTGCCACCCTTGATGGGGATGTTCCTCCTGGTTAGCATACTTGAGCGTCTCTTCAAGCAGCCCCTCGGACCAGACTGGCCCAATATAGTGGCTTTCACCGGCATCATTCCATGTCTGGATCTGCACATAATCGGGCTTCGTGGGCAGTGCGAGGATCTGGGCCATGCGCTCGGGCAGCACCACGTCTCCAGCACGGAACCAGTGGTCCTGATTGTAGTGCTTGTACTGCAGCGACGACAGGCCCATCATGTACACTTTGCCCTGCGCGTGCGTAGCGCTGAGCACTCTCTCATCCACCTCACTTGTCACATTGGTCTGTGTGTCGCTCTGAGCTGGCCACGCCTGCTCCCATGAGAATGAGCCGTCCAGAGTATCCTTCCAGTAGTACCAGAACGCCTCCGGGTTAGTGTAGTACCCCTCGGCCTGATCAAAGTCCGGCACAAAATATGGCTTGGAGCTGAGAGAGCCTAAAAACGCCCCCCATTTCTCAGAACCCCAGGCTCCGGGCTGGAAGGTGCTGAGCATCGGGGCTGAGCTAGGTCCGGCCGTATAGTAGTTGGGGTGCGAGAAGTACTTGTTGATCATGGTACTGAACGCATACGGGTCTGGCTCGGCGTAGAGGTCCAGACTGAACAAGATCTTGAAGCTGGTGCCGGACGCTGCGGCGAAGAGCTGCTCGACGGTGCTCACGCACCAGTCTGCGTTGGGCATGCCTACATTGAGCACGAACGCATCGATTCCGAGGGCCAAGGCGGCCTGGACATCCTGCGCGGCGTGATCACCGTTCAATGTTTGGGCCTAGATTGATTTTTACTGCAGGTAAGCGATGGTCTGTTGAATTGGAGGGGAGTACAATTGGCATACGCACCATATAGTGCGCAAACACATCACCAGCCAGCGCTGTAGGTGTGATGAAGGCCGCGAGGGCGCTGATCGCAATATGGAGGCGCATTGTAAGTGTGATCTCAGCTTTGGGTTTTTTGCTTCTTCTGCTCTCAGAATGGCAGATGCCTAGTGTGAGACAATTGCTGAACGAGATGACTCGACGAGGCCATCATCTCCAATATATAGATGATTATGGGATTAACAGTCGCTCACGATCATCGTTGCCATCCATCTTCGTCCAAAAATAAAGTGCCCATTGCTTTCTCGGCAGCTAATGTCACGCTGACAGGAGGAGTGAATCATGCCACGAGGCCAGGGCCCAGTGTTTCAGATCCGAAGCATCGGGGAGAAACACATGGGATTGGAATGTCACCGGCTGTCTAAATATATAACAATGTTAATTCTCTGTATGAACTTCATAGCCATCGAATTGAAGCAGACAGATGGCTCATCATATGAACCATCGTGCAAGTCGCTGGAATTCGTCTTTTGGACCATCGACTTACCGAAGTGAGGCACGATTGGATGCGCATCGCGTCCACCGAGTGATCATTTAGCAAAGCGAGACATACCCACCAAAGGATGCGGGCGTTCCCTTGCTCCATCCGTCTCTCATTTCAATGGCAAAAGAGAGCATGTCTCATTATGCCTCCTTTCTCAGAGAGGCAGCTCCTCGTGGCGTTGATACTGGAGATGTCTTCCTTGGCGGAGTTTGGTCCCAGGCCAATCCTCCTTTGCAATCAGCCATTTCCCAGAATCGAGGGAAGTGCGGGTCGGCAGCCGGGAGCATTGCGGCAATTCGTTAATGCTCTCGCAGGGGGATGCTGGACAGGAACAAGGAGGTTCGCGCGCGGGCCGGTTATCAAGTACCGAAAGGATCCGGCGTCTATCAATCGAGATCGTTCGTGTCCTTGAGCTGGGTAGGGCAGAAATTGGTTGTCTCATGGTTCAGGGGCAAGAACGAGCTACCCTATACTCTGACTCTCCTTGGAGACAACCGTAAAATTTCAGAGGGGAGGGAAATCCTTGAGATGAATGATGGAAGAGAATAATATGATGACCAGTCCCTCGATTGCATTAATTAGAGGCTCCAGCAGGGTAAAGAAGGTGCACACATCAGGTACCTATTTCACTTACAAGAGCAGGGCAGGTGCAATGGATTGCCAGACCAAAGCCACGTTCGGATAAAACAAGCCACAACGCCACAGTTCCGCAATACAGCCATGACCACGATGAATCACGTGGCACGATATGGACATGGCTCTGTGGCTACCTAGTGCATGGGTGCCATTCTCACCATATTGCTGTCTTCGTGCTCAGGTTTACCTTGGCTTCTCCGAGGACAGTGTGCATTGCAATATCTAATGTTCCAATCGCGACAGCTCCCTGGGAATTAGAAACCTACATCTCTTGACATTAGGAATGGAAGGCGATGGTATATGTCTACGACAGGGCCTTCGTTTCCTGCGACAGCAACTACAGATCGCACCAGTCCGCAACAGGCCTTCGGCGGGAAATTGGGTCCCGGCC